TTTTTTTTTTTTAGCCTCCGGAGTAGCTGCAACCACAGGCGCTTTTTTTTTTTTTTTTTTTGGCTAATTTTTTTGTATTTTTAGTAGAGACTTTTTTTTTTTTTTTTTTTCAGGATAGTTTCGATCTCCTGACCTCGTGATTTTTTTTTTTTTTTTTTTCAAAGTGCTGGGATTACAGGCGTGAGTCACTTTTTTTTTTTTTTTTTTTAATTTTCCGACACTAAAATGGTCAAAATCTTTTTTTTTTTTTTTTTTTTATTGAACTTATGTGATATTCTTAAACCCTTCATTCTCACTGCTACTTCTCCTTCTCTATTTTCTCAAATATTTTACATATTTTTTTTTTTTTTTTTTTATAAACCATAGACATAAGATAGCTTAAGACTTTTTTTTTTTTTTTTTTTATTGTTAAATCTTTCTGACGTCAAGATATTTACACTTGAGCCATCCTGGACCAATCAACACAAGTCACTAACATAGAGTTTTTTTTTTTTTTTTTTTTTCTGCAAGGTGGTAACAATCTGGGGGCAATTTTTTTTTTTTTTTTTTTTAAGAAGGAGGCTTATTTAGAATATTAGTATTTTTTTTTTTTTTTTTTTTGATCAAATTGTCGTTTGATAGAAGACAGTGTTTTTTTTTTTTTTTTTTTTTTTGTAGAATTGTTACTATGCTTTAAGCTTTTTTTTTTTTTTTTTTTTTCTCTAACACATACCCAATCCTCTGGAATATTTTTTTTTTTTTTTTTTTGATTATACTGTATGTAATATAGTTCATGTGTTTTTTTTTTTTTTTTTTTGAGAAAATATCATCATTGCCTATATCCTGGTTTTTTTTTTTTTTTTTTTGATATGTATTCACATAAAGGGAGCAAGTTTTAGTTATCTAATACTGTGTGGTTTTTATTATTTCAATTTGAAAATGCTTTTTTTTTTTTTTTTTTTTTTATAATTTTTAATATGTTTTATTAGTAAAGAATTAATAAAGGAACAATTTTATAGCAAATTTAACACCTATAAATTTCTTTTTTTTTTTTTTTTTTTTAACAACTTCCACAGACCACAGGTCTGCTCATTTTTTTTTTTTTTTTTTTTGAAATACTTCTAAACTGTCCTAAAGTTACTTTTTTTTTTTTTTTTTTTGCAGGTTCATTGTTCACACTTTTATATAAAATGGTATCTGATTCTGGATGGATTTATTATATGAATGTGTTTATTATTTTTTTTTTTTTTTTTTTTTTGAAGCCATATAAAGGCTAGATTATTACAAATTTTTTTTTTTTTTTTTTTGAAAAATAAATGTTAAAAAGATATTGAAAATTTTTTTTTTTTTTTTTTTTGCATACAAATGTTTATAGCACCCCTATTCTTTTTTTTTTTTTTTTTTTGACAAAGTTCCACTCTGTTGCCCAGGCTGGAGTGCAGTGGTGCTATCTCGGCTCACTGCAACCTCCACTCCAAGTTCAAGTGATTCTCCTGCCTCAGCCTCTCCAGTAGCTGGGACTACAGGGTGCCTGCCAACATCCCGGCTAATTTTTTTTTTTTTTTTTTGTATTAATTTTTTTTTTTTTTTTTTTTTTTTTTTTTTTTTTTTAGTAGAGATGGGGTTTCACCATATTGGTCAGGCTGGTCTCAATCTCCTGACCTCAGGTGACCTGCCCACCTCGGCCTCCTAAAGTGCTGGGATTACAAGTGTGAACCACTGTGTCCAGCCCCAGCACCTCTATTCTTTTTTTTGAGATGGATCTCGCTCTGTCGCCCAGGCTGGAGTACAGTGGCACGATCTCAGCTCACTGCAACCTCCACCTCCCAGGTTCAAACAATTCTCCTGTCTCAGCGTCCTGAGAAGCTGGGGTCACAGGCATGTACCACCATGCCTGGCTAATTTTTGTATTTTTAGTAGAGACAGGGTTTCACTATGTTGGCCAGGCTGGTCTCAAACTCCTGACCTCAGATGATCCGCCCATCTCATTCTCCCAAAGTGCTGAGATTACAGGCATGAGCCTCCATGCCCAGAGCGCACTTCTGTTCTTAATTTCCAAAAACTGTAAGCAACCAAGATGTCCTCCAACAAGTGAAAGTATAAACAAACTAGTATGTCAATACAATGGAATATTATTCAGTGATAAAAATAAATTATCAAGCCATGAAAATACATAGATGAATCTTAAATGTATATTGCTAAGTGAAAAAAGCCAGTATGTAACGGCTACATACTACATGATTCCAATTATATGACATTCTAGAAGGGGTAAAACTATAGAGACGGTTAAAAGATCAATGGCTACCAGGAGTTCAGGGTAGGAGGGAGGGGAGGTTTGAATAGGTAAAGCACAGGAGATATTTTAGGGCAGAGAGACTATTCTGTGTCATAATATAATGGTATGTACAAGAAACTATGCACTTGTCAAAACCCATAGACCTTTTCAGCACAAAGACTGAACCTTAATGCATGCAAATTATGAACAATTATTTAGGAGGTTGGACAATCCCAGGATGAAAACAGAATGTGACAAAACAATCTAACTTTATTACTCATGTATGAAACAACCTCACTGAAAGGTGTAGTGAGGGGGAAGTTGCAGACCTATGTAACTCTGGAAATGAGTGGAGTCTATCAAACTAAAGGTAAAAGACACTGTATATAAACACTGTATTCCAGTTGATAAAATTGTTTACCATGAGGTATGTGTTAACAATTCTGATGCTGCTATATGTGTATACTGGAAATGAATGATTAAATAAGTGGCTGATGGTAGGAGTTAGGTTCCCACTGCTGGAGCAGGAGGTTACAGATGAGCAAGAGGAGGAGGCTCAAATGATTCATGTGGTAATTGATTAGAGTTGGAGCTATCAGTATAAACTCATGTTTAGGTTATAATAGATACAGACGGTTATGCATAGCAATATTTATAGATACGTGTATTTACACAGGTTGGTATACACAGTATATTTCCTTGCTCTGTCAGCTGAGAGGAATGAGAAGCTATGACACACTAGTACAAATGAGCACACCTACCTCCCAGATCTTGGTTTCTAATTTATTCTTCAATGAAAGGAACTAGGGCTCCTTGGAGAAATGGCTGATTATAGTACTGGGACAGGAAATACACAAGATGAGCCTGGAGCAATCTTTTAGTGCCAGAAAGGAAGAAAGTACTCAAAAACAAAAACCATGACCTTGATGGGGCATGCCATAGAGACACAAGAGGCAACGAAAGGAGCCCCTAAAGGCAAAAGCTGGGACAGTTTGAGCAAGGAATATTTTAATCCAAAGTATAAAATAATCCAAAGTATAGAATAAATATACATGAGCTCATCCTAATACAAGTAAATAAATAAGCAACAATGGACAAATTTCATGTGAAGAAAAATTCCCAAAAATTTATGTAGTTACTCTGCCCTCAAAGGGGTAGAGTATAACTCCCCACTCCTTACATATGGACCATGCATAGGGACTTCCCTCCATAGAGTGTACTATGGAAAGGGGGAGAAAAAGAGTAAATGTACAGTGGAGCCACATAACGAAAACGACTTGAGCCAGGTGATTGAAGTTAAATCAATAGTGATTAAGTCATGTTCCTGACTTTTTTGTCCATGTGTGATATGACGTGATAGAAACGGCACTTTAACTTTGTGGTCCTCTTTCTACAAACACATAACCCAAGTTGAATCATAAGACCAATATTAGAAAGATCTAAGTTAAGAGACATTCTACAAAATACTTCACCAGTATTCCTCAAAACAATCAAAGTCATCAAAAACAGGGAATTTCGGAGACACTGAGGAGCCTGAAGAGACACTACAACTAAATGTAATGTGGTGTTCTGGGAGGGGATCCTGCAACAGAAAAAGGTAAAAACTAACTAAAAATAAATAAAGCATGAACTTTAGTTAATAATAATGTATTGATGTAGATTTATTAATTATAAAAAATGGACCACACTAATGTAAGAGTTAAATAATAGAGGAAACTGGGTATAGGGTATACAGGAAGTTTCTGTATTAAGCTAACAATTTTTCTGTAAACCAAAAACTATTCTAAAATAAAAATGTTTGTTTAAAAATGATATTTAGAAGCATATATTCATAGAAAAATGATAAGTAGAAGGAGCAATAAAAACAAACAATTAAACCCCTTATTTTACAAGGGAGAAGACTGAGGGTTTACAGTAGGACTCAGTAGCCAGGCTGGCCAAGTAGCTTGTACTTTGGAGAGGACCTTGAGGAAGGAGTGGTGATCAGTTGCTGAACTTCGCCTTCAGCGACACTGCAACATCATTCATGGTACACAGCAGACACACAATAAATAATTATGAATGATTACTTCCTAAGAACCTCTCCTCTCCTAAGAACCTAATACCCTCACTCATTTATTCATTGACTCATTCATTCATTTAACAAATATTTACTGAGTGACTGGTTTTACTCCTAGAATTATAGTCACTTAAAACCTCTGTCCCAAGGACTGATATTTTGGCAACTTTCCATATCTGACTTTGTAGAAAACACCATTCAGCTGATTTAAGTTTCTGACTGTCCACGTAAGAACTGTTTCAAGTCAAATATGAACAGAAGATGGATGGAGGAAACACAGTAAAAGAGAGAGGACTCTGTGGCTCACAGAGAGCAGGTGTGATTCATGCACACTCAAATTATGGGCTACAATTTTTTTAAAAGGTACTGTTATCTTAGGTTCTCTAATTTCTCATTCTATTTTCTTTTTTTTTTTTTTTTTTTTACTATTTATTGTGGCAGCAGGCTAAGAGCACAGTTTTGTCTTGGTTTCCAGTTTGTGCCCCACTACTTATCAACTGTGTGATCTTGGCCAAGTGCTTAATTTTTTTGAACCCCAGTTCCCCCATCTGGAAACTACCTCATGTAAGTAAGTTGCGTGTACTAAATAAGACAACATTTGTAAAATGTTTAGTACACTTGGCAATGCAGTTAATAGCATTATTATTACTAGTATCATTGCTATTATCATTAACATTATGAACTCACCAGATGCTTGTCTCTGTGAAACAACTTCGAGAAGATTAGGGCAATAACTCAGGACCTACAAAAGAATACACGTTGACACACTTAGTCAATCTTTCCATCTTTCTAGGTTTGGTAAGTGAGTAGGTTGTCTCCAACAAATCATAAAATTATTGCTGGACTCTGGGCTGTGATTCCATGGACCAGTCCAATGCCCCTCAGAGACTGCCAGGAAACTAAAAAGGTTATTTTCATGTTCCTTTCCTTCTTGGCCTCTTTTCCTGCCAAAGTTTATTTTCATATTAACATTACCATTCATTCTAACTATTCCATGGGCTCCTAAAAGTGGATAGTTTTCTTGGACACAGGTCTCTCCTGATGTTCATTTTTCTGACTTTATTTCTGCAGTATTTAAAATCATGGTACTCATGGTTACATGAGTAACCTTACAATCTCTGTGTATCAATTCTGTTAAAAAGCCCAGCACTCCCGGGGCAGCGCAGGGGAAGGGGGCTGCCTTACTTTCTATGCCCAGGTGAAAGAGAGCTTGTGTTTGATACTCTGACTAATAAGACTCTCCTGGCTATCCCCATTATAGCCAGGGTTGCCCATCTGGGAATCCTAGCCATTCCCAAGTACATCATACCATCGAAACTGCATTCCAATATGAATGCCTCATGGAAGCATTTCTCTCCCTGCAGGGGAGGTAGCATCAGCTCATCCTCTTACACAACAGCTATCTGGTGATTCTGCTGTCTCTTCAAGGGCCTCACTGATGATTCCTCAGTAGAATCTGTTTTCCTGAGTCTCACTTCAGCAACACAAAGCTAAGTTTGGGTAATAGAGGTTATGTTGTTCAACCCACTTGCAAAAACCATTCTAAGCATAAACGTCCCAGGTTCAGTGGATATCTTAAGGGAAACTTTAAATAGTTTTAATCGAAGAGGAAACTCTTTTACTGAGTTCAAACATAGTTAAGTTAGTAAAATAGCTTGTTTCTTTTTAACTGATGAAAGATTTTAAAGGTAGTTTTAAGAGGTAATTTTGTCTTCAGTTCATCACTATTTCAACAAGCATATTGTCAGTTAGTTTTCAATAAGTGCAATTATTTTGAGGCCCCTTTTGTCAAGGATACTCACATAAAACAAGTCCTACCTCTGTCCTGGGAGGATGTGAGCTGTGAAGGCTGAAACCAGCTGCTGCTTCTCCCCATACTGCCAGCCTTGGTGAGCCCAGAAGGAGTCAAGCCTGAGGGAAATGAGAGAAAGGGGTCAATCATGGAACAGAGGAGCAGCAGATTCTAAATTAGGGCGAATGCATGAGCTCCCAGGTGGACATCAGAGGAAGAACTAACGCACGTTCCTTTTTTTTTTCTCACAAGCTTAAGATGTCTGATATTTGAAATTATTTGTATCTGAGACATCTCTTGAGACTTCATCTGATTGGAAGGATTTGGCTGTTTTTGGTGTTTTTCTTTATTTTTCAATTTTGGGAGGTTTTTTCTTTTTTAAAAAAAATACTAATTAGATCCCTTTACAAATTTAATTTCAGTACTTTGAATGTAATTGCTTAAATTCTGTATAAAATGTTTCTCTATTCATGAATCGGTCTTATCACTAATTTGTGAGGATTTTCTATTTCTAACAAACCTGATTGCACCTAAGAGTGACAACATATACCTTTAGAAATAAACACACACATCATCATTATCATCATCATCCTCACCACCATCGTCATCATCATCACATAAAAATACATAGCTGGACTTATTTTCTGGAAATGTGTACATTACATTTTTATGGTTTTACTTAAAATAGAAGCTCTATGTCACATAAAAGGTTTACTTTGGGAGGCTCCTGAGGCCGTCTCAAAGAAACAGGGTGGTCTTCAAAGCTACATAAAGTGGGTTCCATAAGAGGTCTGAGTAACAGCCCATCAGGAAAGAAAACAAAAAGGCCTTAAGGCTCCACGTACAGGAAAACTAAGAGTGGTTTCAGATTTGGGCCACAAATTAAAAGCCACAAAGGCAGACTCTGTGATTGCAGGCCTTGGTTTGCAATTCAACTCCTTCTCAAATGGACAACTCCATGTAATGGACATCAGGATGAATGACAAGCAATTATAAGTTCGATAATGTTTAATAATTCTTCCTAGAAATGATAGGAAGTCCAGCTAGTAATAAACACATGTTTGAAAACACAAGGGATTTGGAGGCCAGGGTCGAAATGTGCTTCTTAGGGGAAAACTTTCCTAAGTGGCTCAGAACATGATCCAGAGACAATTAGATAATTACCAAGAGCTGCTGTGTGCCACTTACAGCCAGCATTCATAAGCACAACGCCAAGCATATTGTATGGATCTCAGTGTTGCTGAATATAAAAATGAATCAACTATTTTGAGCAGCTATGAATTCAGAAACAAGGAGAAAAAATGAGCAACACAATAAGGGAAATTTAGACAGAATTAGACACACAGGGAAATAAGAGTAAAACAGAGTAAAGAGAGGATCCATCTACATGGAATGTTGATTTGCCTTGGCACCATACCTCTGGTTTAGATCTACCTGAGGTAAACAGGACGGATAGCTCTTAAAGTGGAATAAAGGCTAGTTTCCATTTTCCTCCTCATATTCACATATTTCTATACATTTAAATCATGCAAACAAATTAACTCCATCTGTGTATGGCATCATCTTTATTTAGTAAGACTCATAGCAGACTATAAATATGCAAAGGAAATGTGCAGTCCATTGCACACACACCTCTCATCTCCCTTCCTGAAGTCCATGCCACTTGCTCCAGCTTCAGTGAAATAGAGACCAAGCAGAGATTTGACCTCTGTCAGGGCTGGAACTGCTTCTGGTTGTATTGACTTTCACTTTGCTCTGCCTACCTTCATATCAGGGTGTGCATGTGTGGTTCTTCCAACACTGCTGTCATCAGCAGCCTTCCACTCACCTCCATTCTCTTGAAATACTCTTCCTTTAACTTCCATGATGACACTCTCCTAATTTTTCCCCTACTTCTTTGCCTACCTCTTGTCAGTTTCCTTCCCAGTTCTCAACCCAACCCTTAAATGATTCTGCTCTCAGTCCTATCATGAACTCTATAATCTATTCTAAGGGGCAGTACAGCATAATGGTGGGAAACAAAGACACTAGAAATACACTGCCAGGGTTCTTGCCATTTTCTGGCTGTGTGTGTGATTTGGGGCAGGTTACCTGGCATCTCTGATGTTCCCCCCATTTATAAAATGGGACTAATAATAGTACCTACTTCATAGGGTTGGAAGGAGAGTGAACGAGTTCAGATGTGTGAAATGCCTGGCACACAGTAAGACCACAGTAAGTTCTTAGTGGTACAACCATGACTTCAGCTATCATTTAGTTGAATAACTCTATTAGTTATTTAGTTGAGATTATTTGATATTGAGTTGATTGGTTGATGAACTAATTCTCTAGACCAGGCTTTTTCCTAAGCTCCAGGTCTATTTAATCAATTGCCTACTAAACATTCTCAATTGTATTTAGGGTTCCTTAAACTCAACATTCACCAACTAACTCATTTCTATTTTCCCACTCCTCCAGCCAAAACTTTTGTATTCTTTTTCCTAGATGAATAACAGCTCTTCCTTTTATATTCTTTTTCTAGATGATTAACAGCACCATCGTCCAAAGACCCAAGCCTTTGAAAGTTAATAAAGTTTCCTATCTCTATGCTAAACATAAACACTTAATTGATCATCAAGTCTTTTCAGTTTTCCTTCCTATCTTCTCTTCTGGACTACAGCAACAGCCGGTATTCTCTGTCTTTAGTCTCCTTTCCTCCCGGGAAACCATCCTTGTTTCACACTGCAGTCAGGCTTTTCATCCTTTTTAATATGTTTTCATCATCTTTCCATTCATCTTCAGGATAAAATCCAATTTTTTTTAGCATGGCATATGTGGTACTTCACCAATTTGCTGCTGCTTATCTCTCAAATTTCATCTCCTACCATCTTTGAGTTTTAGCCAAATGAAACTACCTATAATCTCCAAAGGCGTCACCCTCTCTTTCACCTTCATGCCTTTGTAATTCAACCTGGAATGCCCTTTCCTCAATTGTCTGTCTAGATAATTCTAACTCCATTACAATATAATCTCTCTAATTCCCAGAACACCACTCCTAATCGAATTTTTTAAAAACCTAAAAGACAGTTAACAGATGTTAGAATTCCAGTATAGTTTGCTGAAAACAGAATAAAATTTATTTTGTGCCTTTATTTCTAAGACACAGAATACATTTCTTTTTTAGTCATCATTTTAGCTTACCATTGACTCGTAATGACTCTTTGGGTGAGAAATGGAAGGGGTGGAATGTGAATTGGAACATATCTTCTGCCAAAAATTTGTAAGATATCTAGATGGCTAGGAAAACTGTGGAAAGGGAAGAGGTGCACAGCTAGCCATTCCCTACTTTCCTCTTCTCTCTCTTTCTCTCTCTCTCTCACAGACACACGCAGACACACACACACACACACACACACACACACTTTTCTTAAGGGAAAAATCACTCTGTGTTCTTTTAAAAATACCTCAGGTTTTATGTTTTATTGCTACCAGAGTCTGCCTCCCTGAGGTTCTTGTATAGACTAGTTATTTCCCTGTGTAAAGAAGCTGTTCAGTTCATTCTCGCCTGGTTTGGAACGAAATGAACAGTTCCAAAGGAAGCAGTTCTTGCAGCCTCCTCATCTTCCACTCCCCTCCTCCCCGCAGTCCTGGCTGAAGCAGCGAGTCTGTCGATCCCAGGCCAGAGACAAGGCAGACAAAGGTTCATTTGTAAAGAAGCTCCTTCCAGCACCTCCTCTCTTCTCCTTTTGCTCAAACTCACCCAGTGAGTGTGAGCATTTAAGAAGCATCCTCTGCCAAGAAGACCAAAAGGAAAGAAGAAAAAGGTATGTAATTTTTTCTTTAAAAAAACATGTCAGTTGTTTTACTCCAAACTATTACTATAGATTAGAGCAGAAATGTATGTATGTGTTGAGTCAGAAGAAAAAGACAGAGATCCTCTGAGGAGATGGTGCAGGCACTTTGAAAAATATGATGCTTCCTAGTAGAAAGGCAAATAATCAGATTAAAAGAGAACAGAAAATGTATATTTCTTAACGAGGAATGTCATTTCATTATAGGTTTAAAAAGAGGCAGATTCTTCACTGTCATTTATTGAATGCCCAAATTCACTCTGAATGTTGTCCCACACAACAGGACTTATCCCAGTCCTCAGAACTATGTGAGGATGATGAAGTATATAAGATTGTTTTAAATGCAGCAGCTGTATTACCTATACTACATGAAGTTAACTGCAACATCTAAGAAAGCCAATGTTTTTTGCTTTTAAAAATCCTGATTCCTGAAAAGAAACTGGTACAAATGTGGGACACAAAGAGGGAATTCATTGAATTCATCCTTGGTGTCCACTCTTGGAACACAACAGTGTCTGTACTGCTAATATAAAGAGAACACTTTTTCCCTCTGAGACTTAGAAAAATTCCTCTTTAAAATTCCTCAACTTAGTTACACAGGCTTTGAAAAGCTCTCCCAAATGCTGGTCCTTTTCTCCAGTGATGATGATTTACTGTGTCCAGGAAAAGAAGGAGAATGATGCAAGACTGAATATTAATATCATCTTCTGGCATGCTCTAAGAGCCTGATCACTTTTAGGGAGGATGTGGATTATGTTTTTCTATGGATGAAGTTATCTTAGATATTTAAGATGATATGTCTGTTTTAAAGATCTTTAAGCAGCTTATTCACTGTTTAATACTACTTCTGTTCTTTAACACATATTTTGGGAAATTTCACTTCAGGACTCAGTTCTTCTAACAAAAACATTTACTAAGGACTCAGTCATTCTAACAAAAACGTCTTCTAAGGCAGTTAATAAGAAAAAAAGAGAACTTTAAAAAAAACAGTGATTTTCATCCTCCAAGAAAGATGAATGGAAAACATCACAGACTGGGCAGCAATTTTAATCTCTCCCAACTATAATTTTGATATTTCAAATGTCAAGTTCTGGGCTGGAGTTTTCATTTGCTTTTGCAGCTTTGCTTCTCTCTTACTGCTTTTTTGAAAGCAGTCCGAAAATGGACTGTCTTTTCTGTCTAATTCATCAACTCTGTTTCACGCCACTGCTCTTAATACCAGTTCCCAGAACTGACATCAGCTGCCTGTATGAGCATTTGCACCATAAATGTCTGAACACTTAAACTACATGGTCCTGTTGGTTTTGGCAATTAAATGAGATAATTTTTCTTTTTAAGTCTGCATTTAACTCCAGCCATTCAAAAGCTTGCTTGTGCTGAATGCCCAAAATTTGCAATTCCCTACCAAAGGATGGTAGCAATGATTTATTGTTTAGTTGGAAATGTCTTGCTCATAATCCTGTATCCTCTGCAATGATCTATTAAAACTTACAACACTATTAGGATATAAATGGTATCATACATTTGGAACCATGTTAATTACATAAAATCGAATTTATGAAAACAATGGATAACTACCTAAGCTTCTCTTGCTCACTCCTTCTAATTTTTAGTATGTAACTTTGTTTTCTTTTGTAATTTGGGTGTACTCCAGGAGGAATTTTAAGTACATGTACCTCAACCGAAAAAGAAAAAAAAGACCAATTTGCTTCAAATTGGCCAAAATCATTTCACTCTTGTTACCACTTGAACATATATGGTTTTGATGGATTGCCAAGGATTAAGTTTCGTGTCCTTTAATGAAAACAACCACCAATGTATCCCAGGAACACACTGGGTCAGAAATTTTTCCATTTGCTAAATAATAGTTAAAGCTATTTATCTGTACTTAAGTATAGGAAGAACAGAATTCTGCATTTAAAACATGTAGTTTACTTTATTTTATTTATTTGAGACGGAGTCTGGCTCCGTCACCCAGGCTGGAGTGCAGTGGTGCAATCTCAGCTCACTGCAACCTCTGCCTTTGCGGTTCAAGTGATTCTCCTGCCTCAGCTGGGACTGAGTAGCTGGGACTACAGGCGCACGACACCACTCCCAGCTAATATTTGTATTTTTAGTAGAGTCGAGGTTTTACCATGTTGGCGAAGATGGTCTCAATCTCTTGACCTCGTTATCTGCCCACCTCTGCCTCCCAAAGTGCTGGGATTACAGACGTGAGCCATTGTGCCTGGCCAAAACATGTAATGTATAATGCATTCTCACACACACACACACACACACACACACACTCACACACACAACTACCAGTAGGTACTTGCCAGGTGTGGAACTTTCCATTGTAGTATGTGACTGAGACTGCGGCAAAAAAAAAAAACAAAAAACAAACAAACAAACAAAAAAACAATTTTATGCTCTGGCATGAAAATAGAAGAGGTATGTGGTATGACAATTTATCTACTTATTTTTCCAGAAATTTATTTGTTCATTTCACTGAAGGAAATTTTTTGAACACTTACTATGAGCTCAGCATTGAAGCAGACACTCTTCTTCAATACAAAAGAAGTAGAAGTTACAATACTTGCTGACTTGATGTTAGCATCTCTTCTTCCAGTCCTCTGAATATTGAATTCCCCTAGCCTCAGCCCTTTGCCTCATCTCTTCTGGGTCTACCCTTACTGCCCTGCCAGACCCATAGCTATAGATACTATCAATAAATATCCTGATTGCGCTCAAATTTGTATTTCCAGCCCTGATCTTTAGACTCACATTCAACTGCCTATTCAACATCTTCACTTGGATATCTAATAGGCATCTCAAACCTAACTTGTCTAAAAACTCATTCCTGGATTCCTGCCAAAATTGGCTCCTTCCAATTCTTCCTCAGTTGAACAAATGGCAACACCATTCAAGCCAAAAACCCAAGAATCATCCTTGATTCTTTCCCTCTTGCCTCATATCTCCCATCGGTTCTCACCAAAAGTCTCTTTTCTTCTATTTCCAATCTTGTCCCACCACAATACATCTTCACAGACCAGCCAGGGATTTTTTAAAAAGGCATAAATCAGATCATGCTACTGTTCTCTCAAAATCTTCCAATGGCTTCTTAATATACCCAATACAATCTGAACTCTTTACATATCTTCTAGGCCCTTTATGATTGTTCCCAATCTTCTTTCTTGGCTATAGGTAAATTCACATAATAACCAATTCACTAAATAATTAATCAGCTTTCTGAATTTCCCACTCCCCATATTCAATTGTAGTCATGTTCTCCAAATGGTTAACCAGCTTATAAAAATGTCGACAATGACAAGGCATTATTTACTCAAATTCACAGTTCTTGTAGGACAGATTATACGTAAATGCTTTGGGAACATAGAGCAAGGGAGCTATGAGAGTAGTATTGTCTGGAATCAGGGAAGGATTCTTAGAAGATATGAGTGTGAGGTTTGTCCTTCATGGATGCTTTGGTCAGAAATTAATACCAAGGGAAGGGGTGAGAAGGAACAACAAGGCAGAGACACATACATAGGATTAAAGAGATGAGTGGCTTGACTGCCTGGCTAGCTGAACAGGAATGAATGATAGATGTGGAGACAAAGTGAAAGGAAGGCCTTAGGTTAGTTCTAAGAAGTCCACATATTCTTTTAGACAACATAAAATCTCTGTAGGCTCTTGCCTAGAATAAAAAATATGTTTTTGGAAAAGCATTCATTTTCAAGTATGCGCCAAGCATTGTATTAGCCACTGGTGTATGGTAATGAACAAAATAAATTGCTGTCGTGGAGCCTTTGGTCTAATGAGAATGACAGACATAAAATGAGTAAATTCACAAATATATAATTTAAATTGTGATAAATATCTTAAGGAAAAGAAAAGGGCACTATGAAAGAATAAGGTTGAAACTACCTTAGATTGAAAGGCCATGGAAGGAATGACATTTAAACTGAGACCTAAAAGTCAAAACAGCCAAAAAAAGAACATTCCTGGTAGAGAGAGCAACATATAGAAAGACCATAATAGAAGAAAAAGGTTTCCTTTTAATTATAAGGAAATACTGTATACATCTTTATTGTTAAATGCAACAAAATAGCATAAGAAAATATGAAACTCATTGATAAACATAAGTGTATATACAAATACTGACTACTATATTACTAAAATGGTGGTGGTTAAATTCCATTTAATTCTAGCATAAAAGTTAAAAGACAAAAGTATTAAAATAACTATAATTTAAAATGTTTGTGGATATCCAATATAAATAGATGTAAATTGTGACATCAATAACATAGTGTGGTGAGAGAGAATTAAAAGAGTAGAGTTTTTGTATGTGATTGAAGTTAAGTTGTTATCACCTCAAAACAGACTTATAATTATAAATTTTTTTTTTTTTTTGAGATGGAGTCTCTCTCTGTCACCCAGGCTGGAGTGCAGTGCCGCTGATCTCAGCTCACTACAACCTCTACCTCCTGGGTTCAAGCGATTCTCCTGCCTCAGCTTCCCCAGTAGCTGGGGCTACAGGCGCCCGCCACCACACCCAGCTAATTTTTGTATTTTTAGTAGAGAAGGGGTTTCACCGTGTTAGCCAGGATGTTCTCAATCTCCTGACGTCGTGATCCACCTGCCTCGGCCTCCCAAAGTGCTAGGATTACAGGTGTTAGCCACTGCGCCCGGCCAATTATAAAATATTTTATGTAAGCCTCATGGTAACCAAAATGGAAATACCTATAGCAGTTTACACAAAAGAGAAAGGAATCAAAGCATATCAGGAAAAGGAGAAGAAGAAGAAGAAGGAGGAGGAGGAGGAGGAGGGGGGGAAGAGGAGGGAGGAGGAAGGAGGAAGGAGGAGAAGAAAACAACAACCAACAAAATACAAAGGAAGACAAGGCAGGGGAAAAAGCACCAAAGAACTACAAGACAACTAGAAACAATAAGCTAAATGGCAATAGTAAATTCTTCCCTATCAATAATTACTTTAAGTGTAAATGGATTAAACTCTCCAATCAAAAGACTTAGGGTTGCTGAAAGAAAAAAAAACAATATATAACTATATGATTTCTGCAAGTGACTTACTTAACATTTAAGGACACACACAAGCTGAAAGTAAAGAAATGAAAAAAGATATTCCATGCATATGGTAACTAAAAGAAAGCAGAGTGGACTATTTTATATCTGACAAAATAGACTATAAGTAGAAAACTGTCACAAGAGACAAAGAAGAAAATATAATGATGAAAGGGTCAACCCATCAGCAAGCTGTAACAATTATATACACACCTAACATCAGAGCACATAAATATATAAAACAAATGTTGACTGAACTAAAATAAGAAACAGACAGCAACACAGTAATAGTAGGAAACTGCAATACTCCACTTTTAGTAATGGATAGAATAACCAGACAGAAAATCAACAAAGAAAGAGTGGACTTCAACACCAGTATAGATCAAATGGACCTAACAGACATATATAGAACATTCAGGTCAACAGCAGACGAATACACATTCTTCTCAAGTACATACAGAAAATTCTCCATGATCGATCATATTCGGTCACTTAAACCATGACCTACAAAAAGCCCATTGGAAGATATTATTTATATATGCTGGATTGTGATGCACTGTAACACTACAATGTCTTGCTCCATTAAATCTGAAAATATATAAAATGAAGTAGATCTCATTTTAGACTTTTCTTTCACTAATGTTTGGAGGTAGGAATTAAATTGGATATTGATAATTCTAAGGAAATATACAGCCAAAGCCAAAAATGGCTAACTCAAATTAGAATGTGAGACAAAGAAAATCTGAAACACTTAGGAGTATGAAGAAATACTTTGTTTCTAATCTAGAGGAAAAAAAAAAGCAATAAATGTATTTATTTCAAAATCAATGATCTTATCTAAAATGATTTACCTTTAAAATATACCTAATCACTAAAAACTTCATACCAAAAATTTCCATTCCACAATACTGTTTTCTTTTCTTTTCTTTTCTTTTTTTCTGAGACGGAGTCTCGCTCTGTCGCACAGGCTGGAGTGCAGTGGCTTGATCTCGGCTCACTGAAACTTCTGTCTCCCAGGTTCAAGCCATTCTCAAGTAGCTGGGATTACAGGCGCACGCCACCAGGCCTGGCTAATTTTTGTATATTTAGTAGAGACAGGGTTTTGCCATGTTGGGCAGGCTGGTTTTGAACTCCTGACCTCAGGTGATCTGCTGGCGTCGGTCTCCCAAAGTGCTAGGATTACAGGTATGAGCCACCACGTCTGGCTATTCTACAATATTGTTTTCTTTCCAAGTACAATATCCAAAGAGAAATATCCTCTATCTGTTTTCCCTCTTTCCAAGGAGGGAAAGATACTTTGGCACCTGTTAACGAGATAAAATCTGAATGGCTCTAGATTCTAATTCTGGTTCCTCCACTATTTTGCTATTCTTCCTTTACTACGATAGTCTCCATTTTCTTCACATCTAATATAGAAACCAGAGAAGTCTAATTAGATAGATACTTAATATTCTATAGTTCTATGCAAATCCTGTACTTGAAAAATTATCTCTTAGAAGAGAAATTAGAATTGTTGGTATGACTTCAGGGTTCAAACTAGGATTGGTGGGTGGAAGCTACAGAAAAATATTTTATAATAAGGGAAATGTTAGAAATGTATCAATGGGATATGTTGACTTAGTCAATAATGAGTTCCCCATCATGGTAGGGGTTCATGGTAGGCTAGATAATTATAAGGCAGGAATTCAAGCCTTCGTTTTCAAGTGCAGCTAAGATGAAGTCATCTATGTGGGATAAAAATCCAAACGTTACTAAAAATTTGCAACAATGGGTACTAAAATACTTCTGGAAGTTAAAAAACAATCAAACTATAAATATATGTGTATACTATCATCTGTCATTATCAACATAAATGGGTTTTTTGTTTCTGTCAGGAGGGGACCCAGCTTCTTTGACAATGTCGTTAGGATGTAAGATAATGTAAGGTAAAGAACCACTGTATTCAATTACGTTATTTGTTCTAGAAATTTGCCTGAGTTTATACCACCTTAAAAAGCAGGTGTTCTCTACTGAATGTTCAAAATATATATGGCTTTGGGTACTTCTTAAATGCAGATTTCAGCTCTCACCAACACCTCCTCCCTGCCTACAGCATGTGTGTGACTGTGTGTGTGTATGTGTGTGTGTATCAAGGTCTCACTCTGCCACCCCCAGTAGAGCAGTGGCACAATCATGGTTCACTGCAGCCTCAGACTCCTGGGCTCAAGTGATCCGGAGTAGCTGGCAGGACTACAGGCACATGCCAGCATGCCTGGCTAATTTTTTAATTTTTTGTAGAGACAGGGTCTCACTATGTTGCTCAGACTGGTCTCAAACTCCTGGGCTCAAGCAATCCTTGTACACCAGCCTCCCATGCTGAGATTACAGGCATGAGCCACTGTGCCTGGCCCAGAAGCCTCAGCATTTGATTTTTAACAAATATTCCAAATGGTTTTTTATCATACATGGTCATAAAACTACACTTTGGGAAACATAAACAGGATTGTAGAAAAGGCCAACTCCCATTCTTTCTAGCCAAGAGTTTATAAGCATGCTACAGAACTTCATTCAGATGAATTCTATCTTTAAAAAACAAACATTGACACATTTTGGTCTTTCTTCTATTTTAGGGCCAAAAGCCAAAATGAAATTGATGGTACTTGTTTTCACCATTGGGCTAACTTTGCTGCTAGAAGTTCAAGCCATGCCTACAAATCGACTCTCTTGCTACAGAAAGATACTAAAAGATCGCAACTGTCACAACCTTCCGGAAGGAGTAGCTGACCTGACAGAGATTGATGTCAATGTCCAGGATCATTTCTGGGATGGGAAGGGATGTGAGATGATCTGTTACTGCAACTTCAGTGAACTGCTCTGCTGCCCAAAGTAAGGAAATGAAATCACAAAGTGTATTGCCCGGAAATGTATGTAGAACAACTTTTAGCTACATCTTCGTAATAGGTTTGCTGAAATTAATAACCCTTTTAGTAAAATCCTGTTCAAATCCCAGCTCTTTTCTAGAATAATCATTATTGTGTAAAGAACTAAATGCTTTCATTTAAATGAAAGTTCAAAGGGAATTTAGCTGAGTTTAATAAAAGTAAATAAAATCCAGAAAATAATACTTCAATCTATTAAATTCTAAACTCCCCATCTGATTTTTACCACACACACACACAAATCTACCAGTAGCAGAAGTTAAGCTCAAGGTTGAAATCTTAAACCAACTTGAAAACCAATAAAAGGTTTTAGATAACAGATCCCAGTGAGGCTGGGCCCGGTGGCTCATGCCTCACTGGGAGCACTTTGGGAGGCTGAGTTGGGCAGATCACTTGAGATCAGGAGTTCGAGACCAGCCTGGCCAACATGGTGAAACCCCGTTTCTCCTGAAAATACAAAATTAGCTGGGCGTGGTGGCACGTGCCTGTAATCCCAGCTACTCAGGAAGCTGAGGCAGGAGAATCGCTTGAACCTGGAAGGCTGAGGTTGCAGTGAGCCGAGATCGCACCATTGCACTCCAGCCTGGCGACAAGAGTGAAACTTCATCTCAAAAAACAAAACAAAACAAAACAAAAACTCAATGAATGGATCAATTCACTGAACAGAAAAGTTTAGTAATGATCAAAAATAAATTTCTAGTTCTATGTATAAGTTAACCAGAAATGAACTAGATAGAAGTTCAAGACAATTTATCTACCATTATTTTCTACTTATATTTTAAGTATAAATATTTATTGATTTATTTACTATCGTTTTGTACTTAAAATACAAGCATACATGGTGAAACCCCGTCTCTATAAAAATACAAAAAAAAAAATTAGCCAGGCATGGTGGCACACACCTGTAATCCCAGCTACTTGGTAGGCTGAGACAGGAGAATCACTTGAACCCAGGAGGAGGAGGTTGCAGTGAGCCTAGATCATGCCATCGCACTCCAGCCTGGGTGACAAAGCAAGACTTAACCTCAACAACAACAACAACAAAAAAGGTGTAAAATGATGGTAGACAAATTAATAAATATTTTTAGTTCTTGATTTTAAAATCATTTCCCCCTGGTTATTGAGGAATCTTTCAAATCCCATGATCTTGGATATTTCATACTGAAATTAGCTTTTTCAAATTACTTTCAACAGATGTCATCATATTTTCATCCTTCTAAGAAATCTGTGAAATAGAAAAAGTAGATATAACCATCTTACCAAGGAAAGGTGCAGAGAGTTGAAATGACCAGTACTATCCCACATAACTAGCTAATATCAACACTGAGATTAGAACCCATGTGTTCTGATTCAGAACAGATTTTCCATCTACCAAGCCAGCTGGTTCTCAAAGTGTGGTTCCCAGAACAGCAACTTCAGCATCACCTGAGTTTTAAAAATTGCATATCCATCCTTGGACTCCACCCCAGACTTACTAAATCGAAACTCTGGAGGTAGGACTCAGCAATTACGGTTTTTTTTTTTTTGAAATGGAGTCTCGTTCTGTTGCTCAGGTTAGAGTACAGTGGCGCGATCTCGGCTCACTGCAAGCTCTGCCTCTCGGGTTCACGCCATTCTCCTGCCTCAGCTTCCCGAGTAGCTGGGACTACAGGCGCCTGCCACCATGCCCAGATAATTTTTTGTATTTTTTCTGTAGAGATGGGGTTTCACTGTGTTAGCCAGGATGGTCTCGATCTCCTGACCTCGTAATTCGCCGGCCTCAGCCTCTCAAAGTGCTGGGATTACAGGTGTGAGCCACCGCACCGGGCTGGGACCCAGCAATTATGCTTTAACAAACCTGCCAGGTGATTCTAATGCATAGTAAAGTTTAAGAATCACTGCACTAAACAATGATGCCAAGAACTTGAGTTAATTAATCTCATGAAGTGACAATTTTTCCTGTACTACATAAATGAAATGCCAAATAATATTAAAATGCCATGTTTGCTTTTTTTGTATGACTTGAAAACAGTTTACTGAAATGGACTTACATTTATATTATGATATAATTTTGCGATTATCTCTGTTAATGGATGAGAACAGCAGTGTAGATGTACTTGATTTTGGGAAAATCAAAGAGAAATACTACTAAGTATATTTCTAATAAGCCATAATTATAATATCACCTTGCATTTGTATATAATTTTGTATTATTCCATGCATTTTTATATATTACTTTATGTGATCTTTTCAGCCAGGGAAAGTTGAGTAGCTTTGTAACATTTCTCCTTTCCCCATAAAACCTAGAAATTTATTTAATAAACAAGAAATGTTGAATCTTCTGTCTCCTAACTGCAGATTTAAACTTCATGGCCTCTCCCCATATAAGAGACATGAAATTGTATACATGGCCATAAAGTTTTGAAATTACCTAATATTTCTTTTTCTTCATAGATAAACGATAGCATGATATCAATGGCAAATGGGGGGAAAGTAGACAAATCAATAACCTTCTGGGTCTTTGTTGCTTCTGTGGCAAGTCCTCCCACACATCTCTTTACATTTTAGTCACCTAAAAAGAATAATCATAATTGAAATCCTGGAAATCACTGTCTATTTTTAACCTAGAAAAGACTGACTAATATCTTAGCCTTAAGGTGAATTTAATTGATGCTCTACTTTCTTTCAGAGACGTCTTCTTTGGACCAAAGATCTCTTTCGTGATTCCTTGCAACATTCACTGAGAATCTTCATGTATTCTGGAGAACACCATCCCTGATTTCCCACAAACTGCACTACATCAGTATAACTGCATTTTTAGTTTCTATATAGTGCAATAAAGCATAGACTCTATAAATTCTTACTTGTCTAAGACAAGTAAATCTGTGTTAAACAAGTAGTAATAAAAGATAATGCAGTCTAATTTTTCTCTGTGGACATTGTTGGCATTGGTTAAAAATTTTGCCTAGAAATGTAATCTATGAGGTGTTCATTATACTCAGTTAGAGAGTTCTGCCCCCGAGATGAAGAGCCATAGGCATGGCTCAAGGATAGAAAATACTTTCAGTCCTTAGTTGACAGTTACTAACCATGCATTGAAAGAACCAAGTACAAGTTGAGATTCTTGGAAGGGAGGTAGAAATTTTCTAGTAAGAAGGAAAAAGAGACCAGCCTGGGCAATATAGTGAGACCCCCTCTTTACAAAAAAATTTAAAAATTAGCAGGTTGTGGGTGCCCACACCTGTAGTTCTAGTTACTCAAGAGGGTCATTTGAATTTAGGAGTTTGAGTCTGCAGTGACCTATGATTGTGCTACGGCACTCTAGCCTGGGTGACAGAGCAAGACCCTGTCTCAAACAAAAAAAAAAAAAAAAAAAAAAGGAAAAGGGAGGAAAAAGAAAAAGCGAACAATATTTGAGCGAATATTATGTATGCTAATAACTTTAAGTACATTTCAGGCTGGGACTGGTGGCTAATGCCTGTAATCCTAGCATTTTGGGAGGCCAAGGTGGGAAGATCACTTGAGCCTAGGAGTTTGAGACCAGCCTGGGCAACACAGTGAGATCCTGTCTTTACAAAAAAATTTAAAAATTAGCCGAGCATGGCAACATGCACCTGTAGTCCCAGCTATTTGGGAGGCTGAGATGGGAGGATCACTCGAGCCCAGAAATTCAAGGCTGCAGTGAGCTAAGATGATGCCACTGAACTCTACCATGGAACCACAGAGTAAGACTCTGTCTCAAACAAACAAATAAACAAAAACCAAGAACTTTAAGCACATTTCATTTTACTCTCTTAAAAAATGACAACAAAAGCCTTTAAGGTAAATGTTCTCAGCCCCATTTTTCAGCTGCTAACTCAAATTTAAGATATTTGCTAAAAATCAAGGCAGATTTTCAAAAGACTTCCAATTCCAAAGCCCATATGTCACACACAGATGTATCCTTAAAACCATGATACATTTCCTAAAGTGTCCATTTTTGCTTGAGAATAACAAAACACACATTAAAAGAAACATAATGGATGAGAATTTAAAAGTCTCATAAATTTTAAAAGTAAATAAAACTGGCAAATTCAAAGGTATTTTCTGATTGTTAGAGGAGACAGCTTTGGATTATGGCCCCATATCTTAAGAGGTATGTGACTCATATTGACCATCAGAGGTAATGTCAGAAAGTCTTTCATGTTATAAAAATGTATTCAACGCCTGCTAAGTGCCAGACATTATTAAAATCTGGGATATAGTAATGAACAAAATGGACTTATCCGCTTGGAACTTGTGCTCTAACAAAGGTGTGATTGTTATAAACAAATAATTATTTATAAATATGAAGCCTGCTACAGAGAAGTATAGGGCGCTATACAAAGTATTGTGGGGAAAAGTTTGAGAAACACCATACCACACAGGCAATCTGGGAGATATAATTTTGTGAATAAAAGTGACATTATGTCATTAAAATACATCCTTGGAAGTCCCTGATCTGTTTCTGAAGACCACACCCAGAACACTGTCTGAAATCTAATCTGTGTTTAATAGTGTTACTGGGCTAGAAGACCAAACCCAGAACAGTGTCTGGTATCTAATCTGTGTTAAATAAGTGTTACTGGGCTGGATCAAAAAATTTTGAGGTAGTCACAATTCAGTGTCAAAGTGTATATAAACACGGCCGGGTGCGGTAGCTCACGTCTGTAATCCCAGCACTCTGGGAGGCCGAGGTGGGTGGATCACGAGGTCAGGAGATCAAGACCATCCTGGCTATCATGGTGAAACCTGTCTCTACTAAAAATACAAAAAAAAAAAAAATTAGCTGGGCCTGGTGGCCGGCGCCTGTAGTCCCAGCTACTTGGGAGGCTTAGGCAGGAGAATGGCGTGAACCCAGGAGGCGGAGCTTGCAGTGAGCCGAGATCTTGCCACTGCACTCCAGCCTGGGCGACAGAGTGAGACTCCGTCTCGGGGGAAAAAAAAAAAAAAAGAAAGAAAGGCTATATAAACACAAGTCAGAACATGTTTTCGAATAGTGTGACCTCCTATAAAATACATGAAGTGAAATTGTAAAATAATATAGATAGGTAGGTAGGTAGATAGTATTAGTTGTTTTATCGAGATAGCATGTGATTTGATTGGCCTTTCTTCACTGAATCGACCGGTCATGAAATCAGACTAACTCAATAATCAAAGTTTCATATCCATTCTGGAACGGTGCATAGAATAGGTAAATAAAAAAAACTATCAGCAAACCAGTTTTATTTTCTGCTTGGTAGGAACTCTTCTTGATGGGGAAAAAAGCATTAAAGATCCAGTGTCTCCATTTACAAATGATACATCAGCATAAGGACATATGTGAGACAACAATGGCTTTTTAATAAGTGTTCCCTTATTACTGCAATCAAAGCCTGGTAAGAAAAATTGTATCTAAAAAAGCTAAATATTTAAGAAATAAAATTTTATAAATTATTCATCATAATGTCTCCTTTCTGAAAATATGAAATTCAGTTACTTCTTTTAGAAATAAATGCATTATACAAGTACACAACCTTCTTTATATTACAAAATAAATGTAAAAACATACATTCACACAACTTACCTTATACAACTATTTCTCTGACTTGGTCAATGCATTTTTTAAAACAATAGATTTTTTTTTTTTTTTTTTTTTGAGACTGAGTCTCACTCTGTCACCCAGGCCAGAGTACAGTGGCACGATCTTGACTCACTACAACCTCTGCCTCCCAGTTTCAAGTGATACTTGTGCTTCAGGCTCCTGAGTAGCTGGGACTACAGGCACCTGCCACAATGCTCAGCTAATTTTTGTATTCTTTTAGTAGAAATGAGGTTTCGCCATGTTGGACAGGCTGGTCTTGAACTCCTGGCCTCAAATGATCTGCCTGCTTTGGCCTCCCAAAGTGCTAGGTTTACAGGCATGAGTTTTTCCAATAGATTTTAGTTATAAGACAACTAAACTTTATTAAAATTTTATTATTCTTCTAAACACCATCTTGCAGCAACTGAATGAGATAGGTACTGATATTATCCTTGTTCTATGGACAAAAATGCTAAGGTTTAAAGATATTAAGTAGTTTGTCTAAGTTTACATTATCAATGAGCAATCGAGCCAGATTTTGAATATGGCCAGTCTTACACTAGCATCTAGAGTCTTAACCACTATGTTGTTTAACAGCATTAACTAACCTATTATTTCCTTTACAGAAATGCAAACTTTTCCTTGGATAGGACACACAATTGTACACTTCAGATAGCTCATATATGCTAAAAGCTTACTGAACAAGTATTTCTGTATTTTTATCTTTGACTTTCTAAATCATTGTTCTTACTGTGAATCCCACGTTACTGAGCACAAAGTTGATGGTAATACATACAAATAGCTTACCTCTTTTTGATTAAAATTCATCTTTTCTTCATTGTAATTCAGAGACTTGTTGAACATTTTGGCTTGCTGGGATTAGGTACTGATCCTAAAGGATTATTACAGAATTGGAAGGAAGATGGAGAAACCAAAACAATGAGCAACATCTACTGGGGGAAAAAAAGGACAAGGGAGGAACATTCACAGATCATTTTGTGACTTTAACATACTTATAATTATCAAAAGGTACACATAAGTTATTTCCATAATAAATCTTTTTTTGTAAAATATTATAGCAGGTGTTTGTAAAATATAAAACTCTCTATAAGTAAAGCACGACAGGCTTCAAAATAATTTTCCCAAAAGGAAAAAAATCAAATTCATGTATTTCTAAATCAATCTTGGATTGATAGTCTAAGCCTAAACTTTTCTCTCAAAAATTTGAAGAGAAACTGATATTAGAAAATTAAAGTAAATTGATACTAAATTTACTTCTATGCAATGGTATCACCATAAAATGCTCATCTTTATATGGTGGTATATCTAGAGAAAAATGTGTAGAATATACTTACCTGATATATTCTAAGACCTTTAAAAGCCACAGTAAATTTTCAAGAGTTTATGTGATCTACATTTTCAGAGGTTTACAAGTCAAATAAGTCCATTGGGTTTAATGTTTAAAAAATTGACTTGATATCTACATTTAATATCATTAAAGTATATATACATAAATACATATATACTACATATAAAATATATATTCATATATGTAATAATCTGGTAGCAATTAATATGACTATTATTTGAGACTTCTATGATTGTGTAGACTATTAATGCAACTAGGACAAGATACACACAATAAACTCAATTGTACAGCAAGCATCAGCTCTTATCTAGAAAGAAATGCAAGGAATTAATAATTTCAAAGGAATAAATTCTATCACCCATAAAAATATACATATAAGTATAAAAACAGCAAATTTTCCTCTGAATATTAGCTTTCCTGCATCCACTGTTTTAGCTTATAAGCAAAACTTTGCTTGACATTTTAAAAATAACTCCACTAGAATGGCGTAAACCCGGGAGGCGGAGCTTGCAGTGAGCTGAGATCCAGCCACTGCACTCCAGCCTGGGCGACAGAGCGAGACTCCGTCTCAAAAAAAAAAAAAAAAAAAAACTCCACTAAATGAATAAACAATAACATGACAAAAATTTATTCTTGAACCACCATCACTTGCTTAGATATCATAATCTGAATTTTACTATTAAAACGTTATGTAAATATGTGGAAATTATAACCAAAAAGGAACTGGGATGGCTATACTAATAACAGACAAATTAGATGTTAAGTAAAAATATGTTACAAGAGCAAAGATGGACATTTTATATTGTTAAAAGTTTCAGTTTATCAAAAAGATATAACAATTATAAACATATATACACCATATGGCAGCCAAAAAATATATAAAACAAACCTTTAGAAAACTGAAGGGAGAAATACACAGTTCTACAATGATAGTTGGAGACCTTAATGCCTCACTTTCCACAATTGATAGATA